TCAATGCAATCAATGCCCACAGTTTTCATGGCAGGTGGCTCGGTGTCCCACTTCCCATTTCCCAGAATACACCAACACACAGACACTCGATTGTGTGTCCATTTGGTAAAAAGCCAAGGACAAATGGGAATCTGCAGCCACTGAGCCTTTCATACCCTGCAATTGAATAGAGACTACAATATGCTAGCAGCCGAACATAAGGACTGCGGAATCCTATTACACAATCAGCCCTCGCATTCAGAATAAGTGGTCTGCATGCTGAGCTTTAGCTGCGGCTACTGGGAAGGGGATCTAGTTTATGTAAAGTAGTCTTGGTATTTGGTATTATCCCTTTAGCCATTTATACGTAAAGAATTGAGAGAGATAAAAATAATACTTATCTCTCACTAAAAATCCAGTAATAAAAATTAAACAATCTTTTGTAAACTTTCCTGGTTCTTAGTGAGGAAAAATTGTAATTGTAAAGCTCTGATTTTGTTTACTTTTCGCCTTTGAACCTGTGCATTTATTTTCGTGTTGAACTTAAGAGTACACTTGAGGATGTGCTTTATTCGGGAACAAAAATATTTGACGTTTACTGCGGCTTCGCTTTCTTCCTTTGTCGGGCCGCTGATATGCACGGCCAATAAACAAACAAATGTGAATGGGTTTTACCCGTACATTTAAGAGCGCTGCCTCACGTCGTTTTCCCCGTTTCTACCAAAAGCCGCTGGTGCATTCGTCGAAAACCGGAAATATTTACAAACAAAAAACAAGGACCTCTATCACGCACACACACACACACACGCGCAGATTAAAAGCGCCTGAAAGTGCACTAGAGTTGCTGGAATACTTCCCCTTTTTCAAGTTTGCGGCGTTGTCGCTTCGCACAAAAACCGTTTATTACAGTAACTTTTTTCTGAAGTGGGGAGGACTTTTTGCCCAGACGAAAGAGGCACAGAGTGGCTCGGCCGAGAGCCTAGGGCCGAGATAGGAGGGCAAAGGGAATCCATTAAACGGCCTCCACGCTGGCTCCGCGCTACTTTACGAGCCCTTAAAGCTGAAAATAAAATTAAGAGGCGCTGAGTAGTCTCAATTTTGGCTTTGCTCATTTTTTACGGGTTTTTGTTTTGCCCCCTTTTTTGTAGATTTTTTTCTGGCAACTTTGTCGGGGATTTCCTTGGCGCATTCTCAGAGATTTTTGCGGCCTTTTGAAGCAAGCATCAAATTTGTGCGGCATTAGTGTGCATTAATTTGTCAAGTGCCCGGGGATAATTATCATTTAACTGGCGACGCTAATGCAGCAGCTTGGAACTTTGACGCTCGACTCTCGGGGTCGCCCACACTGCAGTTGAGGCCATCGTTTCGCCCACTTGTGAGGATTGAGCATTTTCTAAAAGGAATTTTATTTGTGCTTTGGAGATTCTTGTTTATAGCACCCACAATTTAACTTGTATTATTGTCATTATTATTGTTATTATTATTCTTCGAAATATAAAATAATAATAGTTTGTAAGAATTGTTTGTTTCAATCTGTTGAGGGTGTCTAGTTTACCTGTAACATAACTATTTACCGTTCTCGTGTTGCAGCAAGCCGTCACTGCGACCCGTTGTGGAGTACGTTTAATGTATACAATATCCCCTCTTTTTTGCGAATTCAAATTTCTTTCAGCGCGGCTCGAACGATGTTTAATTGATTGTAATTCCCATGGAAATCGATTCGTGGCTTGCATGTGAATACTGCTATGTAGCTTCATGTTTTCGTTTCATCGGTGGAAACTCGGACTTCCTTTGAGGTGTTTTTCACGCCTCCATCGGCGGAATACGATTGCAATCAGCGAAAGCTACGCCAGAAAACCCAATAAAACTCATCTGGGAAGTGATGTAATGCACATTTAATACAAATAAATATAATCAGAAAACACTTGTACAAATCAAAGTACATTATAGCTAATATGTTTCACATATATCATTATCTACGGTTCAGTGTCTTTGACTTAGGTTAGGAAGGACTCGCTATGGCTACCATAAAATACATACAGATACGTTTACTTATATGGGGATATGTCCTTTCGGGCTATTCGCTTCCTCTGTGTGCCTAACTGTCACGGCGAAAGCGATTTTGATTAGTTCGGCTTTTTAGGGCTAAGACATCCACGTAAAACACACAAGCAACTCGGTTTCGGCTGGATTTCAAAATCCTTTTAACAATTTGAAGGTTTAACATCAGAGGAAAACACTAAGCTTAGCCCGGTAGAAATGCCCCTGCCGTACTCTACTTGGGTGTAAGTATTTTGTTTGGTGTGTGTTTATACTGGTAATGGTGGTTATAACACTGATAAATATGTTCCATCTGTCGCCAAAATCACATCCAGACCTGCTACATTCGTTACAATCTAATCTAATCAGGGCGCGGCATGAAAGGCTCCGCCTTGACGTTAATCTTACACCTAATGCAGACACATGTAGTATTAATAGTACACAACGTGATTGCCCCAGGGGTGTTATTGTTGCGGGTTGAAGTATTTACAAGATTATCTTATTGCATAGATCAGTTTACGGCTGGCGAGTGCATCTGCGAAGTGCCACTCGTTACAACTAGGACTACTGGTAAAAGCGTTTTGTCACAATGCTCCCCTTCTTGATTTATTGTTACTTCATAAACCAATGATGAATCTACAATTTACAGAGTCTTAATAGGTAGCACTCAGGACATCCAACTCAAGGTTTGTTTCTAGTTCCTGTGAGCTTGTTTTAAATTCGTTTTCGACTTATAGTAGTCACTGTGAAGTTGATTGCAGTTTCGTATAAGTGGATGCAATGTCTTGGGCATTGAGTATTTTATTCATTATCTCTCACATTTTTGGATCCCTTTCTGAGGGGAATGTGAAATATTCGGATAGAAGGCGACAACTATTTAAAAAGGAAAAGAAAGAAGCTAAATAATAATATTTCGTTGGTATAAATCAAGGATCGGCACCAACACATACAATTCAGAATTGCATTTTTGTGTACAAAGTATAGGCGATATTCGGTGTACATTTGGGGCAGAGGCCGGGTAGAGAAATTTGAGACCGTGAAAACCACTGGTCTAAGCTGATTTCGAGAAAATTGAAGTATTGCTGACAAATTAAAAATATGTTAAGAAAATATTTTAGCATGCAGTATAAGGGATCTATTTAATTTTTATAAATGGTTTTAAAACTCTTTACATCTGTTTTAATACTACTATTTAAAATGCTCTCAAAGAATACTTTCCTAGGGTATTCGGACTGCTTTAGTGGATTTCCCCTACTCCCTTTTACACCCTCCTTCCTCCGAAAAGAGCATATGTTGCCGAGTCAGCAGAAGGAGCAACGACAGAGGAACCGGATGTGGGGCCCAGCACTCGGCTGTCTTTGACGGCCTTTGTTGTTTGCCCGGCGGCCTGCCATTAAAGTTCAATGAAGTTCCCCGAGTGCGACACTTTGCGACCTAGCCGCGACCTGCCTCTGCCAGGGATTCAATGAAGTGGAAAAAATATTTCCGCCGGCGATAAAATTGCTATAAATTTTCAAGTGCCACGGGGGCTTTGGCTTCGGCCTCGCCTTCTCGTGTCTGTTTTTCAGCATTTTTCAGCCGCCGCCTGCTGGGGCTAAGTTTGAGGCGCTAAAAATTTGTCAGCAAAAATGGTACGAGTTTTGTCGGCTGTTTGTGAGGTGTCATCGAGACTGGCTTTTTGTGTGGCTGCCACTAATGGCGTCATTACCTATCATTTGGGCCCCGGCCGCCTTCAGACCCGTCCCGCAAGCCAGGGGCTCTAAACTTGGCAGCGCACATTGAAAACTTTCATCCGGCTTTCGTTATTACAGTTGTTGTAACGGCTCTTGGTTGTTGTTTGATGTCTTTTAAGCAGCTGCGCCGCCTTCTCTTCCTAGGGCCGCTGGGCACTTGCCTCTGGCTACTGGCTACTGGGTACAGGATTCTTGGCTGAATCCACATCCTGACCGCCTCGAGGGGCCGTCAAATTCTTACGTGACCAGCTGAAATTTTTCATTTTCCCACAGAAATAAAACAAAATGAATGAACTTTTCAAATAAAAATAGCAATCTGCGGGGCAGAGGGCAGCCGCAACCACACGAACAAACAACAAAAGTCACAAATTGCCGTGGATTTGTGTACGTGTCGGTTCCTTTAATGGGTCCCGGCTTGCTTTGTGCAGTTGCGGCTAGAGAGTTCCCCCATAAATTTAATGCATAATTGCCAAATTCCAAACCAAATAGAGTTTATCGATTGGAATTTTCACTGCGACATTTTCAGGGTTTTAGGAAACGCAGAAAATATGAAGTAATTTGTTGAATGGGACAAAGGACTCGCGGAAAATCTTCTAAAAGAGACTATTAAACAACGAATAGGAACAGAAATAAATCGGTAATTCTTAGCAATAAAAAGCTAGAAAGCTTTAAGTCATTAAAACTACTATTACCGACTGAACAATAACCATTTATACCGTATATCCGGTTTCTGTAAACTGCACTTCGACGTCAAAGCTATGTGAATTTGAGTTTTACGTGTACATTCTTTGGAGAGTACATTTTCCGTGAATTTGAATTTGTGTTATTGCAGTAAGGTATCCATCGTAATTCTCGGGGGAACAGCAAGTGGAGAAACTAATGCTCAATTCTAGAGCCTTGAAAATCCTGTGGGTTCCACTCCTGGGCTATGTCCTTTCAATAGCATGCAAATTGAATTTGAAATTAATTAGAGGCACATAAGCGCTTAAGCCCCACGGGCTTTCGGCCACACTTGGTCGGCGGGAGTGAGTGCATAGCGGTGTGCCATCCCCAGAGGTTGCGTATACGACACGTTGGTCGGTGCATTTATCTGTCGTTCGCCACTGCCACGCTTCTCTTGAGGACCCCTCGTCCTGTAGCGGGGGATGTCCTTGAGCGCGGCTGGACCGGGAGGGTGGATTCCTGGAAGTCCACGCTGGGGCACTTGTGCGGATTGGCCTTGAGCTTACCGGGCTTCACGGGTGTCTGCTATCTGCTGGGGCGCCAGGCACTCGTGCTGGAATAGCGGCACAGCAGGACCTTCTTGAAGGCCTGCCGGAATACCTTGTTGAATATGGTGTAAAAGATGGGGTTGACCATGGAGCTTGCGTACCCCAGCCAGGTGACCACGTCGAAGACCCAGTGGCTGATCCGCTCCTCGCACTCCGCACACACCGTGGGCAGGAGGTTCAGGACGAAGAAAGGCGACCACAGGATCACAAAGGTGAAGAAAACCACGCCTAGGACCTTGGTTGCCTTTTGCTCCAGCCGTATGATCCTGCCGTGACGCGATGAGTTTCTCGAGATCACGCTGGAGTTCCTCGAGTGATGAGATCGCACGGTTTGTTGTCTCTGCAGCATGCACGGCGATGAGGTGGTTGTCCTGGTCTTGCCGCCACCGCCACACTCCCCGCCTCCCTGATAGTTCATATTCTGGTGGCTCCTCAGTGTGGCCGATCTCCGCAGCGGTGTAGATGAAGTGGAGGCGGTGGCCGTTTTGGTAGGGGTCAAAAGCAGGGAGGTGCGCACTCCACCGAAGCTACTGCCGCGCCTCCGATGGCGACTGGCATCCCAGGTGACCACCGAGGCGGTCTTCGAGATACTCAGCTTTCTCCGGCCAGGACACGGAGTTCCGGGCGCGGCCAGGTAACCACTGCTGTCGCTCTGAACTGTCAGAGAGCTGCCCTGTTGGTTGGCTGAGTGAGGACTGAGGGTGGAGCCTCCGGTCGATGGAGGGGCTCCGCCTGCAGAGCCCGCCGATCCGCCGCCCGCTATTCCTGCACTCACACTAGAGGTCAGAGCCTTTTTGCTCCCACCACCACTGCGCAGTAGTAGCTCCATTTCGCTGGGCGAACTACTTACAGCCGTGGTCGTGGTGGTGGTGGTGGTCACTCGGAACGCGGATGAAATGATCTTCACCTCGGCGGTCTTTACGCAGTTCTGCAGCGGCCTGTCTCCGAAATAGGGACATGTGCAAACGGAGGGAAGTTGCAGGTACTCCGACGGGTGATCCTGGCTATTTGCGTGGCACTGTTTGGGGTTCTGGGGCGGATCTAGCTCGGTGTCCGAGTGACACCCCTTGGCTATTGCCGTGGCCTTTAGTCCGTTTCGGTCCTCCTCTTCCACCTCGTCTTCGTGGTCGTTGTGGTCGTCGTCGTCAAGGCTCTCCTCGACCGTTGTGTGTCGTGGGTAGAGTGCATTCTTGGGCAGGCTGTTGTGGCGCTTGTGACGACGCAGGGTGGATGTTGGAGTGTCCAGATCGTCGTCAGCGTCCTCGTGACCGGAGCGTCGATCGCGTCCAGAAACCGCTGACGAAGCTCTCCGGCGCATTTTGTAGGCTCTGAGTCGCTGGGAGAGCTGTGAGAGAGTCCTGGAAGTTCAGGAGATAAAAAAAAATAATTAGAAAGCCATTACACTTGAGATTTTAAAAAATGTTTTTTAAGTGGATACAAATGTGATTGAGGTACCCATTGTAACAAAGTACTGAGCACCTCACTGGATCGTTATTTGGTATGTATTCCGGATTTTTAAACTAGACCACTGACTGGAAATTAAAGACAAAGTGACTAATAATTAAGAGCCTTGGATAACTTCGCCTACAGTAAGATGTTAGAATTACGCCAATTAGTTTAGCAGAATTTCGAAGCTTAACAATTCCTCTAATTGAGCGATAGTCATTTGGCGCTATTGGGCATATGCCTGAAAGAAACCGCAGTTTCGCTTTAAAAGCTTTTCCCGAGTCAAATTTAATTTTCTAACTTACCTCGAAGCAATATGTGCCCCGAGGACACCTTGTGGCTTTATTAATAAAAGTATATAAAATATGACTACGTTATACCCCGCTGATTTATTGATTTAGTGCCCATCGCTGCCCCGTTTTCTTTCGCCTGGCGCTGTAAATTTTTAATTAAAATTGCGCAGCCGATTGGCAAACTCTATTCCAAAGCGGGGAAGTGCCTAAAACAATGTGAACAACAGTGAACACCCGGTAGTAGCGGACAATTCAGCAGTAGCCATAGCCAGCACGCTCTGTGGTCAGCTCGTCTCTTTAATTCGCCCTCCCTTAAAAGTAGGCAGCACTTTTGTGTTTGCTTTTTGCGGCTTACCGCCGCGCAGCGTTTTTCTTCAGACTTTTTCCCCGGTTATGTTCTTCTGTTATCCTTGGTGCACTGTGAGAAAACAGACTGAACATTTAAATGATTCAGCGATGTCAGCACATGTTTATCAATGCAGTGAAGGGAATATGATTTAAATGATATAAGACCTGTCTCAGTTTAAAAGATAATGAATAGAAACGTCACGTAACAAATTCCTAGGTATAAACACGAAGACAGTTTAACAGTTTACTGTTTTTACAGTTTAAAAGTCTACCAGTTTAACAGTTTTTCAGTTTAACAGTTTTTCAGTTTAACAGTTAGACAGTTTAACGGTTTAACAGTCTAACGGTTTAACAGTTAAACAGTATAACAGTTTACCGGCTTAACAGTTTAACCGTTTAATGGCTTAACGGTTTAACAGTTTACAGTTTACAATTTACAATTGAACAGTTGAACAGTTGAACAGTTTAACAGTTTTACAGTTTTACAGTTTAACAGTTTAACAGTTTAACAGTTTAACAGTTTAACAGTTTAACAGTTTAACAGTTTAACAGTTTAACAGTATAACAGTTTAACGGCTTAACAGTTTAACAGTTTACAGTTTACAGTTTACAGTTTACAATTTACAGTTTACAGTTTACAGTTTACAGTTTACAGTTTAACAGTTTAACTGTTTAACAGTTTAACAGTTTAACAGTTTAACAGTTTAACAGTTTAACAGTTTAACAGTTTAACAGTTTAACAGTTTAACAGTTTAACAGTTTAACAGCTTAACAGCTAAACGGTTTAACAGGTTAACGGTTTAACAGCTTAACTGTTTAACAGTTAAACGGTTTATCAGTTTAACAACTAGACAGTTTAAAACTTGACTGTTGAGTTAACATTTTTGGAATATAACATACGAGTTTCGATAATTTGTAATGTATTAAACATTTAAAATTGGCTCTCTTAAATCATAGATACAAGTATTCAAAGCAATCTATAAAATTCCCTACGACAAAAATATATATTTCCTTAATTTTCTCTCTCTGCAGGGAGCTGCTTCCCTTCCTCACCTCATTTTGCATTCATTTTAATAAAACGCATAAATTTCAGAGTTGCTTTTGCGGTTTCTGTCCTGCCTGCCCGTTTGCTTTGCATGCAAATGCGCTCCAACTTTATTTGGCCAAGCGAAGGACGAAGAGAGGGCAGAGTAGGGATGTGGATGGGGGCTTGGTTAGCTGCTAATGAAGGCATCAGGTTAAGCGGACAGGAGGGCAAGTCGCAGGCCAGGCGTCGCGACGCTGGATAAGGATGTCAGCTCATTATGCATCCTCCGCGTTTTGATTTGTTTGCACGAGACGTGTGCATAAATTGAGATGCGTTGGAACAGGACTAAGCCGTGGGGACCCAGGGGCGATCGGAGGCTGTGTGTTTGGGCCCAACTTCTCATTATGCAAGTGAAACAAAGCCGAGCTGACGCCGAGTTTGCTATTGTTTCGCCCACAAAGGAATTAAACAGCTGCCGAGCTCATCAAGACGTCGCTTTAGGCTCGCTGGCAGATTCCTACCAAGCTGGAGAGAAGATGAAGGCGAAGCAGGGTCCGAAGACACCTTCCAGCAAGTCAATTGCGATGTCGTTCTTATTTACCACAATATAATGATATTTCTATAATATAAAAAATAACTGGGCCTTTTGAATTTGGAGTGAATAAGGGATCTCTTCGGCTCTGCCAGGTTAAATTAAATTAAATGATTGTTCCCAAAATATGTTTTCAGTGTATGTGAACCAAGTCGCAGAATTAGACTACGGCCCAAACAACATTTGTCAACTTCCAGAGAAGCGTGAGACGACAAATTGTCAAACAATTAAAAGGCACTCCACTCGACTTGGAGCTCGTCCTTTTCCCGCGGCTTTTGTCCTTTTTTGCATTGCATTCAGAGGAGCGTGATTCAGTGCGAGGAAAAAAGGCAAGCCGAAATCCATTTTATTGATTGTGCAAACTCGTTCAACTGTCAAACAATGTGGCAGATATGAAGGCACAATGCCCCATATCGCAGCCAGTTCGATGAAAAGCGCCCAGTCAGAATGATATATGATATAAGCGCATATATAAATGCCGAAAAGAGCGAAAATGAACGGGATACGTTTTTGTGCATTTCGCCAGCTCAGCTGCCACTTTTGGGGCTTTAAACGCAAACGTGAAAATTTCAGTATTTAAAGATTTATTTATTTATTTATTTAATGCTAATTATTAGTTATAAACTAATAGTTAACAAAAGATTAATGAGCAATGGCTACCAAGGCCTTCCGCTCTATAGTGTATTAACAAAGATATGTGTGTGGAATATGTTATAATTAAATTTTATGTATGAGATTCGTTTTGTGTAGAAAGTATATGATTTTATTAGAGTTTGCTGCTGTTGGATTCGCAAGGAGATGGATTGGGTTATCATTGGAAAAGCAAATTTTTCTAACATGTGAAAGTGATTCATTACTAAGTTGCTTGCAGTTCACGAATAATAAGTGAAATTTTAGAGCTTATGTGTGACATTTTAGTTACCAGAAATATGTATAGCTTAAGCCACTATTGCTCGTTAATGTGATTTCCACCTGATTGGCCATGAACACGACCGCCCCGACTCCCATACCGCCCTTCAATTTTTTTTATTACATTCTCGGAAAAAATGAAAATGTTCTTCTCCTATGATTCCAATTTTTTAATTGAATTTCTGGGCGCATCTCTTATCCCGACATAAGCCAGTCGGCTGAAATTAGAAAATTAATGAAAAACACATTTAAGCAAAAGGCCTCGGAGCAGTCGTGGCCGACGCAGAAATCACTTGAGCGGCTCGAATGCCAAATAAAATGGCAGTGCGCCTCCCCAAATAAAGAGCTTTGCAGCGCCCAAAAAAGGGAAACGAAAACGTACAAAAAAATTAATTATTACGAAAAATTTCACAAGTCGAAAGCGGAAGGACAATAAAAGGCAGTGCCGCAAAAAGGGGCGCACTGAAAATAAACGGAAAAAGCGAAAATAAACGAGTCACAAAAAGCGGACTCGAGGTGAGTGGCTGGGCTGCCTTGGCTTTTGGTGTGGTCAGCACACTTGGCCCGAAACTGCCGCCAAAAACCCAAACTGGGACTGGGAATGGGATTCTAAATAGGGCCGAGACTGCGACATCAAAAGGGCCAACGAGTGACTGGAAAGAATCACTTGGACAAAACGGTTTGCCGGCCGCAGATGTTTGTCCTTTTGACAGGTGAGCCAGCAGCCCAGGAAACTTTTCCAAAGTTCTTTCCCAGGATTTCTATCAACAAACGTCTGAATTGTCTGACCTGCCTTCTTGGAGGGGCAAGGTAAAATATTACGCTAAATTGAAACGTACTGTTGAAGAATTTTAATTATCTGTAATGTTATTCCTTACTATACGAATTCTGAGTGCGCCTAAAATGGAAACAATTTCATTAGTCATTTACACCTTTTGTGCAAAAGTAGGTGGTTGCCTTCGGCATGTTTTCCCTTTTTTATGAAATTTAAGTGATTTTTCTTTTCTTTTTTTAAAATTTATTAACTGAAATGATTCTAATACATGGCGCCGACTTTTCTGTTAATTTTTACGACTCTTTGTTTTTCAGAAAGGAGAAAACAAATCAAATTCTTTGCCAACTATACCGATCAGCTCTTCATCGATTGATTGTGCAGTTCGCCTTTTGTTTGTTAAGAGGTCCTTTGACTGCTCGATATATAATACAACGGTTCATCAGATATCGTCATAATTATATTTCATAATGTGTATCTGAAGGGTTTCAATAAGAACATAATTATGTCTATTTGTTTGACATCATTAGAAAGGCATTCCCACTGCTGTTAAAGAGGATATATTCATTCTAAAAAAGCGAAATATCCTAGCATGACACACTGACAAATAATCTTCGGATTGAAATAAAAAAGGGGTTACATTGAACCATCCCTATTTTGAAAATTAAAATATAATAACCTTTTAAGTTTAAAAGTTTAATATGTTGATAGCTCTTACATTCTTGTACTTATAAATAGGTGTTACTCAAATCCCATCTGTAATATGAACCCCTATCATGCGCAATATTGCTGGCTACTCACCCATCGCTCTGCTCTCCGCCCAGGCGACTGCTGGCCAACGAGTTCCGGGTGCTCTCCCGCTCAATGCCCAGAGTGGTGGTGGACAGTCCCATGACTGCGGCTCCATGGCGACCCTTGGGCGAGATGGCGGTGACCTGCTGCTGATGGTAGGACTCCCTGCTCCCCGGCGGATGGAGCTGCTGGTGTTGCAGGGGCGGATGGTGGGGGGCGTAACGCTGCGGGCTGCAGGGGAATTGCAGGTGATTGGATAGTGAAAACTCGGACTTGGTGGGCGATCCAGTCGTTGAGGAGGAAGCCACCGATTCCAGGCCGCGGGACAGCTTCAGCATCTCGGCTCCAAACTGATGGAGAGCCGTCATCGTCGTGGGCGTCGGCTCCTTTATGCTGCGGGCGTGAATAGAATGTATCACATAGTATGGAGCCACTTAGAGCAATGACTCTTACCTGGAGTCCGGTAGCCACAGCTCGTGGTTGTCCAGTGTGCTGAGGTCTGTGTCTGTGGAGTTTGCGGAGTGGGCGTGTAGCACGGAGGAGGCGTGGCCCGGGCCCGGCTTTAAGAGTCGTCGCCAGGTGCATCTCCGTTCTGTGAAGAAGCAAAAGCCCGGGAAATCGGGTAAGTGGATGTCAAATTGCAGACAGTTTAAGGGCGCGCTACTAATCTAACTAATAGGTTCTGGGGAAAATTATATAGCAATTTGAATACTCTTTCAATGCACTTTGGACATTTAGCCTTTGTTTGCATTTTTGAATACATATACAACTTTCTTAGTAAAATAGATATCAACACGATATCTTTATATCCCCAGGTGGCTTCTGAATCGAAAGATCAAACCCCTATATCCTTTAATTTTCTATAAGCAAAGCAGTATAAGAAATTTGGTAAAAATTGCATTACAATTTAATTTCAAAAATTGTTGTCATCTTTCATTTCATTATCTATAAAATTAAATTTAGCAAAAAGTGGCTGAACTTTCGAAACTAATAACTCTACAACATGGACAATGAAAGCAATTCGAAAAAATTACTTGCTATATTTACAATTCATTGACAATTAGCGCACAAAATAAACAACAGCTCAAAGTAGAAAACTGAAAAAAATATATCCTGTTTAAATTTTATTGTATGTCGTTGAAGAGATATTCAGGCCTGTTGCAATTTCCACTTGGATTTCGGATTTGATTCAAAGAATTTTTCTTAATTCTCCAATAAATTCGGGCGGGAGAAAATGTTGACAATTGAGGGCAAATGTTTCTAGGATCATTCATCCTGCTGTCTGCTACATACATATATGAATTCATTTTCGGTTGGCTCTAAGCTATAATACGGCTATATACCGCGTCTACAAACGTGCCAACCCGTTGATTCAAACAAGATTACAAAAATCTTATGAAAACTATCTCTGGATATACATACATATATTTAATCATAGTTTTCCTAAACTTAAAATAAAATTAATTGGCCTAACCCTCTTCATACCTCGAGTGGTAGCCAACTAATTGGGCCTTAAATGTATGGGACTTTTCCTCTCTGTGCAGACAGCTAAAGGGGCAGTCTGCGAAATCCAGCTACGTGACTGGCCCAAATGCGTACGCTTTACAGCAGAGATTTGGCTTAAAATAACTGCCCAATTCCCTCCCCATTGGCGCGGGCACACACTGCAAATCGTAGCTCCACTCGAACGAATCGGGGACATCGCTCCCAACCGAGCCCCGCCTGGCCGCGTAAAACGCTCGCTTGGATCGCTAGAGTGCCCTGGAGTGCAAGGGATTTCAACTGCAGTCGGCAGTCCATTAAATATTCCAAGTCTACATTGACTTTCAGCAGCCAGAAAATAACTGCCAGTTCCTCGGGCACCCGTCAATCGGATGAGAATTAGGAATGGAACCGAGCTTGTTTAACGGGACAGTGGCTGCCACTTAGCCACGCTTGAAGTGAATGGAACCTAGTTGCCATTGTTAGTCTTTTCGTGGAAATGAAAGAAAAATAATGGTGTTCGTGGTGATAACCGCAAAAAAAAAAAAAAAAAACAATTGCTACCAAAATTTTTTACGTGAGATTACAGCAATTGGAAGATATCTACACTTCCCCGTGGCTAATTTTGAACTGATTCATCCAAAACGTACCTTAAATTCTGTTATGTTTCATGAATAACAAAATATGTACTGTGATAGGTTTGGGGGCTTTGGTTTTTTAAACCTCCGAGGCAATTCAGCCCACATGAAAAACGTTGTACATAAGCACCATCGAAAGTTTAATCTTGAAACTTGGGAATGAAAACTAGTTGAGCACTGCAGAAGGCTCCTGCGGCATTACAAGCCATTTACGATGGGGCTTTCAATGCGGAGCAACGTGGAAATTAGCTATCTACACATATGGGCTGGATTTTCCTCCCATTTTAAGGGCGTGAGCGAGGGGGACGTGTAGTGTTTACCCAGTTCAATGCCGATTCTGTGTGCATTGCTGTGGCTCGGTCGCACTTTGGGCCTCCGATACTAGGCAAAGTATCCGGCACATGTCCCTGCATTGTTTGTCTAGGCCACCCCTTCCCCCTTCACCGTTTCGACATTTCCACCCCCGGTTTCCCTACTTCGTCTCGAGTGATGTGCAATGTTGTAAGCACAAAAAGTGCAATGTGAAACGAAATGCAAATTTTAGGCCAACTGAAAATCATATTAGACTACGGAGCTGTCCTTACCCAAGGCCGGTGCCTGGCCCAGCCAGCCGCTGGCCCATCCGGGAGTGGCGGCTGCCGTCTGCTGGCCGCCACCCAAGTTTTGGCGCTGCCGGGCCAGGAGGCGCACGGTGAGGCAGTACGTCAGCAGCATCACGCCCAGCGGAATATAGAAGCACACAATGGAGCCGACCAGCTTGTACACCGGATCCGGTATCTGGCAGGTACCATTCACCAGTACGGAGGCGTGATTCTGGAATCGAATGGAAAGCAGATATCAGAGGAGCACTGTTGATAAACACCATTATACTGGGTAAGAAACATGCAATTAGGCTAAGTACACGTCACATTCCCTGCTAATTTAGTAGGTTCCTTTGATGTTCTACTTATATAATAGATGAATTTGTGTCTTCAAAACAGTTACTCACCTTCGAGTACATCAGGCTCAGGGGCAGGCTCATGGCGATGCTCAGGAGCCACACGAACACGATTTTGAGGGTGACCCGCCGCCTGGTCTTGTTCCGGCCAAATCTCATCGGGTAGCGCAGCGATAAATAACGGTCCACGGAGATTGTGCACAGGTGCATGATGCTGGCCGTGCAGAAGAGAACGTCCAGGCAGATCCAGGTCAGGCAGTGCTCCGAGCCCAGCGGAAAGTATCCTGCGGAAGAGGCAATGAGGAGCGGAGAGGTCAATCCGGGGCTTTGTTCTGCTTTGAGCCAGTATATATTCCCCGTCCGACTTATGACTGTATTAAGTGTCTGCAATATATTTCCACCTATGTGTACACCCGATTTACGATTGCCTGGCAACAATGCAATGCAGGTCCAACTGTCGTCCTGCCATTTTTGTTTAATACTGCTTCGCTTTTTTGCCCCGGGAACCTGTCCCCCTTCAGTCGTAAGCTGGCAAATGATATTACCCGGCCCTCCCGAGGGGTCTTGTGCAACATACGACGAGTGGCCCATACATATGCGAGCAGCTCTAGTGCCGGAGCTGTGGCCATCGTTTCGCACAGCTGTTGGACGTCATAACTCAGTGCGGAGGTCCTCCTACGTTTTCCCATAAACGTACAATTGTATGTGCACAGCGACAAAAGCAGTGTGGCCAGCACACTCCTTAAAATAGCAGCAGCCGCACCCGGCGAGCCGATCTAGACAGGTTCATCTGTCGTCTATCTGAATCATAAAGCCATAAGCACATATGTACAAACAATTTAATAATTAATCGAATCGGAAATATAAAACGCTCTCTTGTATGATTAATATTTGTTTTCTGTGTGAAAATGGGTTTGGCCCTGGAATATTGAGTGACTGATACTTGTGTTTGCTCTGTTGTGGCGTGTGCCCTGAGATTTGGGCGCGGGATTTGTGTCCGAAATCTGGTCAAACATGAATCCGAATTGCCGCTGGGAAAACGGAATCTTTTGAGGAAAAGCAAACGGAGCTAAGTTCGTTTCGGATATGGATCAATAAAATTGTAGAGGGAAGATTCACATGGATTTGGTCGAACATTAAAAGCTTTTGCGTATCATTTATGAGATCTATGAAAGTCCTTTACCATGTCTAAAAGATTTTTTGTGACATATCGAGACTTGTTTTGAAATACACATAAATTTGAAAATTTATTCCAGTTGTACGACCTTAAAAAAGCTAAAGCTTCGAGCTTGGACAAATTGACTTAATAACGAGCCCATTTAAGCCCATTTTCCAGTATCCCAGGCCGTATCTGTTGCATGCTGTCCCACCTTTTCCCCCTTATTTTACCAGTGACCGACCATAAGGTCTTGTTTATGGCCGGGTAATATTTTCCCATCCCAATTGGGCGCCCATCAAGCGCTCAAACTGCAATAATGCCCGGGTCCAGAGCTGAGTCGGGGTCGAAACGAGAACGAAAACGTTACAAATGACACGGCCATTGGGTCTGGCTGAAAACAGGCCCGTCCCAGACCATTTGGGGCGTAAGCAAAGTGTCAATAAGATCAATTTGGGCAGCAGACGGTAGACGGGCTCGAACCTTTAAAATGGCGAAATTTGTTTAAGCCGAGAGCCGAGCTGAACTGAAACTTGAAGGCGGCAAGTTAAATTGAAAAAAAGCACTGGCTCTGGTCATCCACAAGGGGTGAGGAATGGGAAATCGTTGCTTTTCCACGAAAGCGGCAAACGGATCCTGAGATTGGGGTCTGTCTGCCCCATCCATTGCCGGATTGCTCGGCAGAACCTCAGGTCCCTTAGTTTTCTTTGAGGCGCAGGACAAAGCTTTTATTTGTGTTTTTGTCTTGTTTTTTCTGTTGGTTCTTTGGGGCTGCCTTTCTTACGGAAACATTTCAACTTACAAATGCGAAACAAATTTCAAACAAAAGCGCAAAACTTTGCCGCTTTCCGGTTCCAGCGCCGAAGTCAGGGTAAATACATTTTTAGCAGATTTTCTTTGTGTGGATTTCGTTTTGCATGCCGGGGGTTAAAATGGGGCGCGAGGGCCCGTCATAAAACTAAACTGAAACACAAATAGCCGAGGAAGCTGATGACGAGCAAAGTTGGCATGAAAATGACTTGGTAAATGAGTTGAAACTTATTTAATTTGTTGTAACTTTAAGTGGGTATAAAGCGGACAGCGCGCGAAATAGAAATGGGCGATGGACGATGGACGATGAACGACGGGACGGTCGTCTCTTCTGTCCGGCTAATGATCCGGTTGCTTGCCAAATCGACTGAATGCGAAAACAGTGCCTACCAAGTGGTAGATGTATGTATATATGTATATAGACACAGATACATTGTGGCCGTGACAACATAAGCCATTGTGTGCGAGAGCAGCCATAACAAATATTTGAGCATTTTCCGCGTTGCTGAACTGAGGCAAACAATTCCCGTTGAGCGGACCAAATCCGGATGGAAAATGCGGAAAAATCGGGTGAAAACATGATTTATGAATAGGCCACTGCATGTGTGTGTTTCCCAAATATATGTGTTTATGGCACGGTAACAAATTCTTGGTTTAAACATTTTATTTTAGTATTCCTTGAATTTATTTCGCGTATTTCGATTTTAGCTTAATCCGATAATCGACTAATAAATTGTTATATTAAATAAACTGTCAATGAATACAAAGTATTTAGGAATCTTATTTCATTTATATGTGTATATATTCAGAAATCTGATCGAATAAATTCGAACGAATCACGAGGAGCTAGTGGGGCTATCAACCCCTATACCATCACCAATAGCTTCTATACAACTGATTGACTTTCTTTTCTCGTTTGGGCCAGTGCATGCGAGGATACATTCGTATGTACGTAGATACGGGTTAGATCCTTTGTTGGACTTTTCTGCTGTGGTTTCTGTAACGGCATTGATTTCAATTTTAGTTTCAGCTCCCTCCAGCAGCTCAGCAACCCTCAACATTAAATTCGGGGCACAGCATCCCGTCATCAATTAGATACAGCGCTTCTCAAAATTGTTTGCCCAGCTAACGAAGTTAATAGGAAGGGAATGACTGTCCGAAAAGGGTTTGTGTTGCTTTTTCTTCGGTTAACCCGAATGCACTAAGTGGATTTGTAGATTGGCAAGAGTGGAAAATGGATAAAGTGGTGGCACCAGGGAGTTATGACGTCACAATTCCTACATATAAATCTTACCGTATTGTACATACATATATTTAGCAGGATCAATGTTTTCCTTAAATAAAAAAATCATTCACTTGAAAAAGCCGCATAAAAAACGAATTTTAACAATTTTTCGCTCAAAGTGCAATATCTTCTTTCTTTCTTTCGAAAACAGCGAAAACAGCCGAAACCAAAAAACACATTTTTAAATTAAAAATAAAAAGATTTAGAAATACATTTTTCCGTATATTTATTATTATTAATTCAATTTTTTCGGTCATAATATCGCTCATAGTGCGATATCTTATTTCTAAGAAATTTCTTCGAAATGATTATATGAACCCAATAAAACGCACGTTGAGCGATATTTTAAACGAAAATAATAAAAAGACTTATTTTTTGAGCGATTACAAAAACTATTAAAATCAATAGATAATCAGTATAGATAGATATTTACTTTTTCCTTTATTATGATTACGGTTCCTGATAAGTATGTGATGTAATATATTACATACAATACAATACTTGAAAACGTTCAATGAATATTCGCCTTATTCACTCATTCTTTAAAATGTTGCATATTAAAAAGCGCAAATAGGAATTTTTCTCCAAATTTATATAAAATCCAGAAATAGCTTATGCTAAAACCCCTTTCCCACCTGTAAATAATAATATTAAATTTCATGAAAGTGTTTACAATTTCCTCGGTCTCGTAACAGTTTAAATTCAATTCTCGGAACCCGATTTTAAATTTTTCGGCAAATATGCAAACAGAATAAACATCAACATAAATCCTGAACCAATCAAAATATAAAATATCAAATACCTGACGACAAATAAAACTCGCGCACACTTGGGCAAACACACGTGCCACAACTGGGGCAATACAGACAACAAAAAAAAAACAGCAACAAAAAACACATCCTAAATGATTTGTGTCAATAAAAAAGGCGAGGGATAATAAAATGCAAATATACATATACATATATGTACGTACATACATATATACATAGGAGAGCAGTAAAAATCATCCAGGCAGCGCTTGAAAATTGCTGTGATTATAAAATAAGCCAACGCAACTCGTTGCTGTTTATTGTTGCTGTTCTTGCTACTGTCACGCGCACTTGACGCGGAGCAACCAACAACAATAACAATTTCAATAACAAATCACAGAAATATGAGCGCAACCAAGGAGTCGGGGCCAAGCCGTGAATTTCACTTCGTTTCTTCCCCTTTATTTGATTATTTTATTTCGCCTTTGGCAGATGACATCGACTTATACTCACAATAGCGACAACTCGGTTGCAAACGAGCCAGCATCTAGCAGTGGTAAGAAAGGACATTGTAGTATATTCTTACTTAAATATTATTGGTAAGAGTGCTGTGTCCTTCTTCGAAAGTGATCAATTAGCTGACTTGTTGTCTATTATAATGCACATGAATGTATCAGAGCATGTTCACTATATATAAATTGTCATTTTGATATTGGTACCCTTGAAGGTGGTATGAAAGAGACCATAAATGGTAGTTCCCCAGGATGTAGGGATTTGACCAGCTACTAACCAGTGGCAAATTCTGAACGAAAGATATATTCCAGTGAAATTATTATTATATTCCGAGCCATCTCCGACAACTTAACATACATATATGTATGTAGTTATATCCGGCCTCCCCAGGCGAGTCGATTTAACTATTTCAATGAATCGCAGTGACTATAAGAGCTACGAAATTTTGTGGGAACCTCTTACCTTCTAGACACTAATCACGTTTGCTTTAAAAATACCAGTTAAATTACTCATCTCTCTCGTACTTGCACTCACCCAAATTTAACTAATCCCGAAGTGGAATTTCTTACTTGTTTATTTTATAATATATACATACATATATGCATATGAGAATACTTAGTATTTAATAATAACTATAATAAATAATAAAATAAAATAAACTTTTATTTTCCGATCATTTTTATGACTTATAGTGGTTCGATCCGAACAATTCCAGAATGCAATAAAAGAGAGGAAAATTAAAATGAATTTCGTTTAGACTGTCTTAAATCT